CTACAGCAGCTAACAGCGAGCAGGTGTTGGAGCCAAAAAGCGTCTTGAAGCAACCCCCGAAGAGAAGGCCGAGCGCCTTGAGAAGCTCTCCGGCGCGTGAGTACCCCGCCCTCTTACCCTCCCATTCTGGAGCTCCGCTAATAGCAACCAGAATCCGCACACTCCTCGAATGCATCGGCGAAGACCCGACCCGCGAGGGCCTCCTCGAGACACCAGCCCGCTACGCAAAGGCAATGCTGCACTTCACCAAGGGATACGAAGAGAACCTGCACACAATCATCAACAACGCTGTTTTCACCGAAGACCACGACGAGCTCGTCATCGTCAAGGACATTGAGATCTTCAGCATGTGCGAGCACCACCTCGTCCCCTTCACGGGGAGAATGCACATTGGCTACATCCCCTCCCGGAAGGTGCTAGGACTGAGCAAGTTTGCGAGGATTGCGGAGATGTTTGCCCGCAGGTTACAGCTGCAGGAGAGGTTGACGAAGCAGGTGGCAATGGCGGTGGAGGAGATCCTCAAGCCGCAGGGGGTAGCGGTAGTCATGGAGAGTAGCCATTTGTGTATGGTGATGAGGGGAGTGGAGAAGACGTCGGCGACAACGGTGACGAGTTGCATGACGGGGATCTTTAGGAGGAGTACGAGGACGAGAGAGGAGTTTATGCATTTGGTGGGCAGTCGCAAGTAGGGTGTCTTCTAGTGATGATTGAATGCATGGGGTTATAGATGGCGTTGGTCGGAATCGTTAGTGCAACATTCTGGCTACTGGAAGAGCTTGTGGGGGGTCTTGTGTCTGTTTTTGTTTCCTTTCCTTGTTTTCTTTGTTATACTAGTTAGCCTTCCTGGATCTTTGCCTGCCTGAGCGCTGGCGTCGGTAAAAAGTCGGTGTCTGGGTATCCTTTTTTCTTTCTTTTCCCCCCCCGAGATCGAGCCAGCGGGAGTGTAGTTAAGCAGGTACGGATATACCGCACAATAAACCAATCACGATTATGGTCGTTATAGATCTATCAGAATGTTTGCTGGTACTAGCAATTTCCCGGGGTTGTGTCTTTGTGGAGTGCAGGGGACGGAAAAATCTCGGGTGAAGCAGGGAATGAGTGATAGTGTGTGATTCACCCGTCATGCGTTTTTGTTAGCCAGGTGCAACGCGGCCTCTAGGGCGATCGTGCTTGGTTACGCGTGATGCGGGCGGTCCGGAAGGGACCACATTCGGTGACTTGGTGTTCCAACCCACAGCGGTGTGATAGATCGAGGCGGTAGCACTAGCTGAGCCTGTCTCCGTCACAGGTCGTCGAAAACCACTGCGATTACTGCCCAATGGTTGTATCTGTATAACTTATATTAGTGAGGTGCGTGTTTTTGGTCGGTACATATAACTATGTACTTAGCTGGTACCGGGGTTACAGTCTTCTACGGCATGTTATAAAGAGAGCGAACGACTTTGGCCTACGGATTTTGGTATTTTCCTGGCAGATATGGGGACGAGGTTTTAGGAGTATGACCGGGCGGGGGAGTCTAGTGAGCTATATACTCACGAATTGGACAAGTCTCTGGTGGCGGGTGTCGACATGGTAGTGACATGTGTTGACAGGGTATATTCGGACAACTCACCTGAACAAGTTTGAAAAGCCAGATTTCTTACACTTGTATGAGTGGCGTAAGTCGAGTGATGACGTGTGGTCCACGCGCTGGATACATATTTTGTGGCTTTAGGGGTAGCTACCCAGTGCCCTCTGGCTCTGCCTGTTGCTGCAAAGGGGGTCTTTGGTCGCTTCTTTTCCCTCGTCATGGTGTAAAAAGAGGGAGGGGGAGGGTCTTGGTGTATCCTATCACTACCTGGACTCACTACAGGGTCTTGGACTACTCTTCATTGTTCCCCGGCGTCCTTGGGCCGTCTCTTTATAGCCCCCTTGTGCTTTGTGTCTTGCACTAGTATCTGGAGATCTGGAGATATCTCGACATATTGGATCTGGAAAGCGGGGTGTGAGATGATGGCACGAGTGATAATATGTACCCCCACCACGCCGCGTATGTATGTACTCTCATGGGAGAATCATCCCCTTTCAAGGATATGTAACTACCCTCTAACTCTGTCTCTGATTGAAGACCTATCTCTCTCTTCTCCCCCACCGTGACGTCCTCTTCATACCGGAGTGCACATCTTCTACGGCTACTATCAAAAGAAAAGGGGTATTGTACTCACTACTTTCCATTGAGGGATCTTCACTTCTTTGAACCCACTTCATTCGACTCGCCCCTTATCGTGGGGTCTCGTTGACTTTGCGGGTCGAAAAGGGGAGTCGGGCTCTATGTACATGTAGTCGTGACACGACCTCGGGCGCCGGGGGTCTGATACGAGTGGGAGATGGGGGTGGAGGGGTCTTACTATTGGCTTTTTATCACTGCTAATTGGTTGTTAGTTTTTGCTTCTTTGGTCTCGAGTTTGGGAGATCCAGGTCTCTTTCGCTGGATTCTCTGGATTGGTGCGAAGCTTGGCGCGAGTGATGGCGTGTGATGCTGGCCTCTGCTTAATGTTGTAATTGGGGGTGAGGGGTTGTGAGGGATGAAGTAGAATCTTTCGTAGTGAAGTGGCCTGTTTAGGAAATATTTAACATACGGTAAAGGTCTCGGAGCGTGAGTCGATATTCATCTGATTGATAGGTTGCGGTAAACCCAGTGGCTGATACTCTGGTAGATTGATGTGTTCGGTTTTCACCGGCTTGTGTAGAGATGGATGGATGGCAAGGAGTGGTCGAGCTAGATACAAGTAGATTTAAATGGGAGAGACTATTCTATGCTGTAGGCACATTATAGTAGAGCTAAATCTAGGGCAGAGCTTGTTTTGCCTGCCACTTCTTGGCCTACAATGTAGGCCTTGATCCCGTTTGTCCTTGGCACCAAAGAAGCTCTCACTATAAAGGCGTTACTTCTTTTCTTCTCTTCGCCCGCTTCCTTTCTGATCTTTACCCCCTCTCATATCGTACTTCTTCTTTCCGTTTATTTTCTCTCGCTCTTTTCTTCACGCCCCCACCCCTGTTCCATAACGCTGCTTCCCCCGCCGTTGCTTTTAACCCCCGCCCCACTTCTGCCTTTTCCCTTTGTTTTTCTTCCCCATCTCCACCATTTCCTCCATGTCCTCCGCTTCTCTTCTTCGCATACTTCCCCCAGTCTACCTCGTTCCCTCATCCCCCTCCCGTCGCCTTCTAGTTTCCCCTCTTCCGCACAGCCAGCTTCTTTCGGGAGGATGTTATTTCGGCTTTTTGTTAGGGACCCCAGAGAGGGTATGCAGCGAGGTTCATAACAGTTATATATGTTATAAGCCCAAGCGACATACTCACTCTGGGGTGCCGGAATAACAAAAGGCTGATGTAAATGTTCTCCCGGAAGATGTAAATTGTAATGAATTTCTGAGAAAGTGTTGTCCTTAGTTGTAGATCTGGCACAGCGCAAAGTTTTGCCGAAGATAGGTTAAATAGTCCTGTAGCGATGTGCACGATACAAGATGAAATGGGACTAAAGCACAGCTCTTTCTCTTGTAATGTTAGTTTGTAATTGCCAATACGTAAGGGTCGGTCTTTCCCAAATATCGTGACATTGTGGTCATAGTGTTTTCCCGGCCAAAACGACCTTGAATCTTGAAATGTTCTCGTCTCGTCTTGTCCAAAGTCCCGAGGCAAAGTCTCGTTAGGTTTTATCTTGTCCATTAGTATGCTCGGGTGAGAGTAGCTTCTCTTTCAGCTCTTTTTGTGGGTTAGTTGGCTCGCCCCCCTTGATTTCTCCCATTCCTCCCCCGCCGGCTTCCTGAACTTGTAATCGAGCCGTTATACCAGAAGATCCATTCCCAGCAGTGCCCAGGCGTGGCCCGGTTGAAGCCACTCTTGTAGATTTGGGCTAGCCCCCAATTGGCCAAACCCCTGGAGGGCAGTAGCTTAGTACACCCGTCCAGGGGGCTCAGTGTAGGTTATTTACCACCAGAGCCCCTTTGACAATATCGTGGCGTGGTCGAGGGGTAATAGCCTCTACTACGTTGCATGACATCTCTGGTTCAACCCAGGATGGAAGCAGTGATGAGAATGCCCAACATGGTAGCGACGCTCTTGAGGGATGATACTCATCACATAAGTCTTTTGTTGCTCAGTTTTTCTTCTCCTTTTTTTTGCTTTTTGTACCTGCTACAGCAAGAATATCCATCGCTAATATTAATACAATGGCCCAGGGAGTGGGATAACTTAGATACTGACATACTTAGTGAAGGCTTAATTGGTAGACGTGTCACGCTGTCACGCTGAAGTCTGGGACATACCCGGGGGTGCAAGATAATACAGATCATCGCGCCCTAGCTAAGATTACCAAAATCAGTGGAATATGAAGATAGAGAGAGCCATCAAGTACCGCTTTCAACACTCCATCTTGGCCGCAGCGACTCAAGGCGTTGTCACAGACTCTGAGGCCAAGTCTTGGCACGAGTGATAACGTGTGATCAATTGCTGGCAGCAAGATGCTTGAGCCAAACATCACTAGCGCTGACATCTTATATTGATGGGGATGGTGATAAGATACCAGATATTGAGCCCTCTGTATCTAGATTTGGATTTCACGTGGGGTACGTATAGCATGGGAATTTTCTTCGGTGCCCGTGAAGAGGCGGTAGACTTTTATTCTGGGATTTTTTTTCTCTTTTTTTTTTTTTTTAATTCATACTTTTATTCTAAGTCTCTAGAGGGATTTGATGGGTGAATGAACAGGTAATTTTATAGCGAGGAGTCAACTGTAGAGTCGAGGGATACATGTATATACCAGGTATAGAACAATAAAAGAGAGATTTCTTGAACCTGTTATTCCACCAACAGAGAGCATCTCGATCATAACATGCAAGAACGATAATATGATAATATACATACTTTTATAGGACAGCAGTGCAAACACCACCCCACCACACCCCGCCAAAAAGGACAATAACCAAACAAAACTCTATAACCTATACGTCCACCTCTCCGCATCACTCCGCTTCTACCTCCTTCTCCTTCTCCCCCACCCCCTCCAACGCATTCATCCCCTCCTCCTTGCCATTCAGCCCCCTAAAGCAGCCCCAAAACAGCGCCCCTGCGATCGCAGTCGCCACCGACAACCCCGTATACATCCACACCAGCTTCGGATCCTCCGCGGTCGGCGACAGGGCGATTCCGATCGCGCTGCCCAGCGCGCTGGTAAGCAGGAACATACTCATCACGAACGACTTCATGGCCGGCGGAGCCTTGGTGTACGCGTACTCGAGGCCGGTAATGGAGGCAAAGATCTCGCTGAGGCCGATGAAGAGGTAGCCGGGTGTTTGGACGGCCACGTGCACTTTGTTGGGTACGGTGCAGGGGGTGAGCGGGGTGGTGTAGCAGGGGGGCGAGGTGTAGATTACTGTGGGGTGGTTAGTATTGTGGGTGTTAGAAAGGGGGGAGGGGGCTTACTGTGCTGGACGATTGCGGCATAGGCCATGGAGAGGGAGGCGAGGAGGAAGCCGACGGCGATGCGCGAGATGGGGCGGAAGGGGATGTTGAGGCGGCGGAGGAGCGGGTAGAGGAGTTGGTCGACGATGGGGACGAAGATGATGATTGTGAGGGGGTCGATGCTGGAGAGGTGAGTTAGTTTTTTATCCTTTTACTTTGGGTTTTTACTGCTAGAGCTATAATGCTAGTAATCCGCAGATGTGGGGGGGGGGCTTGGAGGGGTAATGATACTTTTGCATGATATCGTTTGGGATGCCGTGGGTTTCCATAGTTCCGGCTTGTCTGTAGAGGCATTAGAAACCACTACAAAGGAGGCATATAGAGCCGATAGTCCTCACGAAATGAAGTTACTCGTCATCTGTCCATAGACAATCCAATATATCTACACCCACTCACCAATCAGCACTCGCACTCCCAATCACAACCCATCACTCGCCCGTCACCACGCGCACCGGGAAAAAGATACTACCACACAACACACACATTAGCCCTCGTCCCACGCGCACACCCACCAAACCCCCAAACCTTCAACAAGAATACTCACAACACCCGACACGCCACCAACGCCCTCTTCAGCTCCTCCACAAACAGATCCGTCCACGGCAGCGCCTGCGTAACACCATACTCCTCACGATACGCCGACTTGGCGGCATCCATGTTGCCGCGACCATACTTGAGCCCGATCCACATGGCCTTGAAGGCGTCGGTGATGACGGAGCCCTGGGGCGGGCGCACGACGTAGTACTTGCGGCCGAGGAGCAGCGCGCCGACACCGACGAAGAAGACGAGGAAGGGGAGGAGGTAGGCTGTTCTATGTGAGCCTCGTAGAAGAGGGGGAGGAGGGGAAGGATGGTTAGGTACCGGCCCAGAAGTCGACGTGCTGCTCGAGCTCTGTGGTCGCTATGCTGCTGAGCGAGCCGACGTTGATGCACATGTAGAAGATCATATAGCTGCCCGCCCCCGCCTTCATCAGCACCCTTCCATCTCTTACCTGAAGGGGCAAAAACCTACATGCTCTGAATCGTGACCGCCGGATCCACAATAACCCTCTCGCCGCCCTTCAGCGTCCGTATCTTCATGCGCGTCTCGCGATACTGCTCCGCAATCAGCGGGCTCACATTACTCTTAATCCCGCCCGTGCCCAGGCCAATCACCACCATGGCCGCCACAAGCCCACCGAGCGCCGCGCCGCTCTCAATCGCGAACGGCAGCGACGTCACAAACAGGATCAGCAGCCCGGCGATGTACACGCACGCGAAGAGCAGGATCGTGTTGTACTTGCCCATGTACTGGTCGGCGATGATGGCGCCGAGGATGGGCGTTACGTAGCACCCTGTAAAGGGGGGGGGGTGTTAGGGGGTCAATGATAGATGACCGGTGGGGGATGCTGGGTACTTACAGAACTGGAAGAAATACGATAGCCCCGTCGCGCCCTTCTGGCCTAGCCCGATCGCACCAGGCCTTGACGGATCGTCACGGGCATTCTGCATGTAATTCTCTACAACACAATCAGCACCCACTCACCACCCTCTTCCCCCAAAACAAAGAAAACTACATACGAAAAGGCCCCGAAATGCCATAATAGCTAAACCTCTCCGCGAGCTCCACAACGGCCACAAACCACGCCGAGATGGGCAGCTTATCCGCCACATGCCTGAGCGTAGCCTTCTCGTACTCTGTAGGCTCGTCGCCGTCCTCCGTGGGTGTTTCAGCGGCGGCGAGATAGATGTCGTGGTTGTAGGCGGGCGGCGGCGGCGGGGGGGAGAGGGCGGTGGTGGCGTGGCTAGGTGGTGAGGTGAGTTTGAGGTTCTACTTTGTTTGGGGGCGGGAGGGATGGGAGCTTACGAAGAGGCGGCTTTGGGTTCGGACTCCATGGTGGGTGTCTAAACTCTGTTCAATACGGAGTGGAATTGGAAGCCCTGGCTGGATATAGATCTGGAGAAGGGGTGCAGCACAGGTTCTTTCACCAGATGGGGGCGGGTGGGAGTTATATCATGATATCTTCCTCTCTCCTGCTGTTTATCTATCTGCTCTAACTCTACTCCATATACTCCACAATAACGCAATACGGAATACCTCCTCCTCCCTTCTCACCTTCCATTTCCACTTCTACCTCCAGTTCCAATTCCCTCACCTTCAACTTCACCCTCGGCGCCTTGATATCCAGATACCCCCCAGATACCCACTACTAGTAAGTAGTACACGCACATGAAATCCCGATACCGACAGCACCTATCAAAATACTTGACACACCCCCCAAACCCTCCCCCCAAAACCCCTACTAGCACCGCACTCCACAATCTCCCCAACTGTTTTACGTCACAACAACCACCATCGGACCTCACCGCCCACACATCCTCCCCAGAGCCACCAAAAGCGCACCCGGAGTACCACCTCCCAAGCGTACTAGCCCACAGTCAAGCATTCGGGTATCACGGCATTAGCAGCGGAACACGGTGAAATGCTTGTTTTGTCGCTCTTTCCTTTGACCGCTTCAGGAACCGAGGCACTTCACTCGCTGTGGGTCTTGGGTATTTTCTCCGCGGGTAAGAAAGATCAAGACAGAGGGTGGTTTTTAGTAGTGTAGAATAGTTGCTCTCGCGATGCTTACCATCCCAGAGCAGGGTTAGGGTTAGGGTTTGTCAGAAACGGGTTCCTGGATCTCTAGATTCCGCGGCCGGCCCAGGAACCGGGAAAGCCTTACAGGGATTATGTGACGAGAGTGGCAGCAGTGCACGTGCCACTCTATTTAGATCTGTTATCGATACGATCCATCTCATCTACAATAGTTACGATACGATCCGATACTCATGCGCGCCATATTGCATACCCGGTAGAGTACAGGTAGATTCGATAAGGATATCATTACCACCACAACCCCAACCCACAAGCAAGCCTCAAGCCATAAACGTAACCGTCTTTGTCGCCAAAAACTCATCCAGCCCATAACTCCCCCCAAACCTCCCAAACCCGCTCTCCTTGCGCCCGCCATGCGGGAGATGCGGTTCGTCGTGGACTGTCATGCCATTGATATGCACGGCCCTACCCCCAACACACACGCACCAGTCAGCATCACCATTCCCACTCACTCCCCCACCCCTAACCTCAACCCCAAGAAGAACAAAGAAAAACACTCACCCCGCCTCGATCCTCCTCGCGACCCTCAACGCCCTCCCAATATCCCTCGACCACAGCGCTGAATGCAGCCCATACTCCGTGCCATTCGCCAGGGCCACCGCCTCCTCCTCAGTCTCAAACGCAATGAGACTGACCACCGGCCCAAAGCTCTCCGTGCTGTATATGTCCATGTCCTTTGTGACGCCGCGGAGCACCGTGTTGGGGTATGTTCCCGGGTTGGCAGCGATGCTAGTTGCGTGGTGCTCAGCGTCGACGATTGTGGCGCCCTGCTGGACGGCCGAGGCGACGAGGGCTGACACTTTCGCGTGGGCACCGGCGAGCACGAAGGGCTGGTTGCTTGGGAAGGCGCGGGCGGCTTTTGAGAGTGCTGCTGAGAAGCGATCGAGGAGGGAGGTGTGGACGATGACGTTTTCGGTGGCCATGCAGATTTGGCCAGCCTGTGGGGTGGGTGGTTAGTGTCTGGATCACTACTACAGTGGTGGCTCTTCCAGGGGGGAAGATACATACGTGCAGATACCCCGCAAACACCGCCGCCTCCGCCGCCTTCTCCACATCCGCGTCCTCAAACACGATAAACGGCGCCTTCCCGCCCAGCTCCAGCATCACCGGCTTCAGGTGCTCCCCGGCCTTTGCGGCAATCTTGCGCCCGACCGCAGTGCTCCCCGTGAAGTTGATCTTGCGCACGTCGCGCTGCGCAATCAGCGAATTCGTGATCTCGGGCCCGTCCTCGCGCGTACTGCCAATGACGTTTAGAGCTCCCGGGGGAAGCCCGGCTTCGACAAACATGGACGCCAGGAGGTAGTGCGTGCGTGGTGAGAGCTCGGAGGACTTGAAGATCACGGTGTTGCCGGCGGCGAGAGGGAAGAGGATGCCGCGCATGGCGAGGATAATGGGCGCATTCCTGGCGCCATGTTAGCTTGTACGTTCGGGCTGGTTATCCGGGGGCGGCGTCAGGGAAGCACCCATAGTAGGGGCGCTGGATTCTGCGGCCTCCACAGCTACGAGTACTCTCCAGACCCACCCCCGAACAATCCAGAGCTCCTTCTTACCAAGGCGCAATTGCCAGCACAACGCCATACGGCTCCCTATACACCATCGCCGTGCGCCCTTCGCCTCCGTCAACAAAAAAGCCACCCCTCACAACACAAAACCGCAAAACCCACCTTCATCCGCACTCTCCGGCAGCCGCCCCTCAATGCTCGTCAGCTTCCCCGCCACCTCCTTCACAAAGCCCACACTCGTAAAGATATTAAACTTCGCCCACGGCTCCTGCGCCGCCGTCTCGGTGCACATACACTCCGTCAGCTCGCCACCGCGGCGCTCCAGGATGTCTGCAAACTTGAAGAGCAGGTCCCGCCGCTCCACCAGCTTCTTTCCCGACCAGACGGGGAACGCGGCCGCCGCAGAGGCGGTCACGCGCTCAACGTCCTTCAGCGACGCCGCCGAGGCCCGCCAGAGGACGCTGCTGGGCGAGGCGGGGTTGTGCACCGCAAAGGTCTTGGCCGTGGTGTGCGGAGCATTATCGAGCAGGAGCGGGGTGACGTAGGAGCTGTCGGTGCTGATTGGGCGCACGGAGACCCGTGACGCAGCAAGAAGCCCGTTAGGGCGGAGAGGGCGGGGGCGGAGGAGTCGCAGCATGGTGGTGGTGGAGGTAGAAAGGGCGGTGTTGGAAAAGCTCTGTGGAGGTACCGTGGGTGAGTTGCTTGTACCTGCTCCTCCGGATGACGTTGTGGATGCCAAGAATTGCGGAGAAGAGAGCTTCTGTGTAATCACGAGATCGAGGCGATGCAGCTAAGTGCTAGCCCCGGAGCGAGGTGACCGTTGTGGGAAACTCGGGGGTGTGCGTGAGGGGCGTGATTGGGCAGGTTTCGTAGAGGGGCTCGGAGAAACATCGTGTTGGGGCTAGGTAAGCTGAGATCGTGAGCAGCTCGGGATCTGGAGTGCGGTATCGATAAGCCATTTAATTGGTTTCACCCAGGCAGGCAGCGGGAAGAAACATCGTCCACGAGATCCCGAGGTGAGTGGAGTATGTAGAACAGGCAGAGAAGAGCATGTCGAAGAGAGAAACGGAGAGGAGATGCCCAGAGCAGGCAGGTGAAAGTTGATGGAGACACCACGCCATAGACCTCGTGGCCTGATGAATTAAGCGTAACTGCCAAACAAACAAACCCGAAGCAACGAGAAAGTGCACTTTCCCGATTGGCAATTAGTTAGCCCATCGTTGACTGGAGCAGACCCACCGACCAATCACCCCGCATCCCTTCTTTCTTTCTCCAAGACCCGGGGCACACAGCGCTTGGCACGCACGCATCCATCCATCTCGATTCTCACCCAGCAGGCAAACACCACATCACATGCCATCACTCGTAGGGCCATAGCTAGCCATCTTACCTGCATTCTCTATTATATTACCCGTTTTCTCCAGCGGAAGAATTAAACGGTCTCGGCCTTCCCCACATCCTCACCTAAGCAATTAATTAATCTAACCCCGCACTTTCCCTGTACTCTACTCTACTCTACTCTAGGCAGCCCAGTATCGTACCGGTGAGCTGGCGGTTGGTACATACACGACATACATGCTCGGGAGAATTATATATTGCAGCGGGCAGTTACTCGATTTGTTAGCTGGCTGGCTGACGGCTGACAGACTGGCTGACTGGTGAGGCGCAGAATAGAGTACCTACTACGTAAGTAGGTACTGGATAAAACCTTGCTGTGGTACTTTCCGTATTGTAAGTCTTGTCCATGTATGTCTGTATGTAGAGTAGGTATGAGGGCGAACATCATGGCTACATGTAGGTACATTACATGTGAGAGCGGATAGGGCAGGGAGAGGATAGGATATGGTAGGGTAGAGGGGCAAGGCATGGGATGAGGGGCACCTCAGTTCAAGCCTCTCTACGCGTGCGGTCTGTACAGATGGGTACTTTCCGCCCGCCGATCATTTCTCTCCTGTGGAACTGTGCCTACATTTTGCAGTTGCAGCACTTGCGGGGTACATGGATCTACACAACCCACATGTACCACCACCATATTAATTCTTGTGCAACACACACAGCACAGCAAGATAGAAAATTTCTCATCAATTAATTTTTGGTTTTTTCCCTGGTTTTTCAACTGTTGCCGTTCGTGAGATACATCTTCTTAGGTAAATGATGTAGGTAGCGTAATATACAGGGAAAAAAAAGAGGATTTGATTGACAAAGGAAAAAGTAAGTGGCCTGAAGGAATGGACGGCTCATGATGATGTGATGCAGAGCTCTAATACACTGGTATTAATGGAAAGAAAGAAAAGAAAAACAGATAAACTCCAGCCCAGAACCGAGGCGTAAAAAAATGCCTATTCAGAATGTTGTTGCGTAGATGAAGTGAAAAAAAGGAAGGCTAAAACGGCGGCCAAATATCTCGCACTTTGTGCTCTTCTCTTAGTAACCGCAGCGGTTGGCTGTTTTGGGGAGAAGTGTTAGTATATGGCTTGAGCTTTGCAAGTAGGGGAAGAGTATGGCGGAAGTGGCATACCATATCGCTGGGTCAATGGCTGCGGGAACAAGCCGTTGGCCAGAAGATCCCTCATGTCCCAGTCGGGGGCGCCCTCGGTCTTCCAGGTCCAAAAGAACCACCCGGCATTCTGCTCGTAAGCATCCAATTGGGCCTCGATGCTATTTCCTCTGTTAGCCCATCTCCCCCCCCCAATCAAAAAGTAAACACGATTCCGGGAATCCCTACTAAGCCCTAGTATTCGCCTTCTCCTCCGCCGAGTATGCCGCAACCGAGCCGGAATACCTGTTTCCACAGGCGCCAAAGTACTGCGACCCTCCAAAGTTGCCCTCCCACCTGGCACCGCGGCCCACACCGTTGAGATACTTTGTGCAGTCGGTCCTTGCGGCCGACCATTCACCAATGACGTTCCACTTGTCGGTGGTGCGGATGTTGTTGCCAACGCCGCAGGCGGCACCGACGTGGGCGTTGATGTCGCGGGAGAGCTCGCCCGGGCTAAAGACCTGGTAGGTGTGCGTGTCGAGGATCACATTGTTGAAGCCGGAGGTCATGAAGCCGTTCCACGAGTTTGGATCGTAGAAGGCGTCACCAATGACGACGGCGACGTCCGGGCTGCTGTCGCGGACGGTGCCCCAGCCATCGTACCAGTATTGCCTGATTTTGTCCATGTTAAGGTTGGGGCCGAGGGCTGTTTGAGCAGTTTGTCAGTTCACTGAGGCATTATATAGACTATATAGTTGTTTAGTGGAATTTAGTAACATACGTTCGTTGAGGAGCTCAATGGCCGTGACAACATCGTTGTACGAGCCCTGTGCATAGCGCTGAGAGAGCGTCCTGATGACCTCGACAGTTAACTGCACGTTGTTTCCCGTCTGCCACTCAAGGTGGTCGCGGTATCCAGAGTTGTCGAAACCGTTCTGCGAGCCGGGGGCTAGAAAGAATTATACTCATATCAGACCCAACCCCACATCACATCAAAACGCAGAGTTAACAAACTACTACTCACCGCCATGCAGGTCAATCCAGACCTTGAGTCCCGCGGCCCTCGCCCAGCCAATAGCACGATCGAGGATATCCAGCTGTCCACTGACAAACGGGTCGCCGTCCCGCATTCGCACGGCCCAGTATCCGATCGGAATGCGGACATGGTTCAGGCCCGCAGCGGCGATTTGGTAGAAGTCGTCGGCGGTGATGAAATTGCTGTGGAAAGGGCGCGGTTAGTGAGAGAATTCGGAAGAGAGCCGGAGGGAGGGGAGGGGGTAATGAGGGCAAAGCATACTTCCAGTGGTTGCTGAGCTTGCTGTAGCAGGCGTCTTTACCAATGTATTGGCATAGCGTCCATTCGTCCACGGCGCCGGGGACGGAGTCGTAGATGGAGGGTGTGATCCATGCTGTAGGAAAAGAAGAGAAATTATGTTAGAGAGATGTGGAAAGAGATGAGGGTTAGTTGTAATTGCTTACGCTCAGTTAGAAGCCATCCACCAAGGTTGACGCCACGGACTTTGACGCCACCATAGTTGAAGGTAAGTGCCCTCTTCTCGATGTTTTCCTTATTGCTGCGCACAATAAACAAAATCAGATATACAATTACCACCTCACAACCAAAATCAGGAAGAATATTTCCACATACAGAGCAGCAGACTGAGTACCAGCAACCAACAAGGCCGCGGCCGCAAGGCAGAGGCGTTTTGCGTTGAACACCATTGTTGATTATATTAGATATTCCAAAAATTAGAAGAAGCTGAATTAAAGGCGAATATGTTTTGGCCTGAGTACTGAAGCTAGCTGTAGATATACCTTTACTCTCCACATAAGAACGGGCGCCCCTTGCCCACTTTATACTTGTGGGGGAGGGGTACCGAGTACTTTAGAGCATGTAGTACCCACTCACTGGTACTACAGGCAGAGTAGGTAGAGTGATACATAGTGCATTTGGGATAACTCCATTGCGTTCTATTCAATGAACCCAGGGTTTTTTCTTTTCTAGAGCACCCTCCAATAATGATAATGCGTTCCTGGGTCAGGCAGGCAGGGGATCTGCAGTGCAGTGTGCATCGGGGCAGCAAGGGCACTCTAGGAAATCCTGCTCCGGCGTGTGACTAGGTTTGTCTGTAAACTTGATCCAATACCAATGACAGAGTGCCCATGGGACCATTAGAGTTCCAGGACCGAGGTAGAGCACATACTATTTTCCCCCAGAAGGAAACATTTTGAGTTATGCCTGTTGATATGACGGGCTGAGGTCACTCAAGAGTACTATTAGAGTAACTCTCTTGCCAACTAATCTAGTAGAGTAGGTACAGTGGCCGTCCCATTGCGGCATTGCGGAAGTCTGCCTTTCGTCCTTCCTGCATGCAAACCAAACCACACCCCCCTCCTTCCCCATGGCATTCCGTCCTTGTGTGAGTTTCTTTAGAGTAAAGACCCCTGCCCTGCCCTACCCACCTTGTCACCGCGGATATACGCGAGAGCTACTATGGTTTTGGCAGTGATGATCTCAACTTTAAAAAGCAGGGTGAATGAGGCTCTGATGCTTGTTGCAATAATCTTAAACAGAGTTGAGTTGATTGTGTGGGTTGGGTGATCAGATCATGCATGCCATGACGAGGGAATCGAACGCAGCAACTCTTTACGGTAGAATAGAATAAAAGTGGACAAGGTGCGTTTGTCTTCTGCCTTGGGAAACCTCGAAAGAGAGATAAAGTCTACTGCCTACTAGTGACTACATATCACTACTGCTTACTGCCTACTCTATTATCGGCTGAACTTGGTACATTGCATCTCATGGGTCTGATTCGATCTGGTACATACCTATCTGTACATCCTTCGTGCTTCTGAACACTACTTCTAATCAAGAAAGCAGAAGCACAAAAACAACCAGCGGTACCGGATTAACTCTGCCTGCTCCACTCGAGAGTAAGCAGAGCTACAACTGCGCACCTATTTACTCTGCTTCCATGTACCTACAAGATACATGTACCTATGTTATGAGATGTATGTACGCATTCTACCATCAGAAAGGCCAATGACGGCATCCTGGTCACTATCAAAGACATGACTCTGATGATCCTGACGTGGACACATTTGGATTGCACATGAAAGCTGAGCAGAAGAAACGCAAATATATCTATCTAGGTGTT